ATTGGGTGTGGCTTATTGAAGGCTCATTTCTCAGGTTAACACAAAAATCGACATCAAATTGCACTTTCTTCCTGGTGTCAGAATATATTTAACAAACTGCTATCAGAAAATTTTAATGAGAACTCACAAAACCAAATTAAAATGGCAAAATAATTTGAAAACAAACAACATAATAATATCAAACAAATATTAAGTTTTCTTAAATAATGCTATTATATATGATACATCTGAGAGACTAGCATTCAGATCTGAAGTTGAAATATCAGATTATAAATCTAGAGCTATCTCATCCTTTCCCAATCATACCAATTCCACACTTACACTTCACACACATACCCAAGCAACTCACCAAAAAAGAAAAAAATAATAATAATAACACAAATAAAAAAAACGGAAAAAACTACACAATCCACCAATATTTAAGTGAAATCTCAAAACAAATTTTAAGGTGGTGTCCCCCTCCCCACATCCTATCCTTCAGATACACAAAACTATTTAAAAGATGAACAAAATAAGTTAATGCTGACAAATAAACATTATTAATTTATATATTTCTTTCACATACAGTATTGCTTAATGCGAAAAAAAACAAAAAAACCTCGAACTCAAGAAGTTAATATCATGATAAGATCTAATAAAAACAGGGTTAATTTTGGTTTAAATTTGTTATATTTATAATAATTTTTATTTTCCTATTACTGGATTATGAAAACAACATCATTTATCTTTTTGAAATATAAGGTGTTTAATAATGAGACAAAATAAAACAAATTATTCCACTCTTATGTCTTACCTTCTTCTTCAAAATGTAGGCCCTGGACAAGGCCCTGGCAACTCACATGATACTATGAAGAACATGTCACAGTAAAATGACAATGAATTTCATAATACACAAATTTGTTTTTGATTTGTTATAAATACATTGCATGTTTTGCATACATAATCTGCAAGGTAGTTTTTGTGGAGTTTTTCTGCCACATGCACCAATCATGATTATAAACTATTACCAAACGCTTCAATTTTAAGGTCTGAAAAAAAAATCAATACATAGAGAAATGTGAAGACAACCAAGATTCAGTGCAAAAATTCTCATTTTAGCAATCAGAAGACCTAGTTTTACACCAAAAATCCATGGATTGTTCCCTTTATTTTTAAAACCAAAACAATGAATACTGTATAAACAGAAGAAAGAAAATTAATTCAATTTTGGTAAATTTTTCTGTAGTCCCCAAATATCAATTTCATTGCCATGTGCCAGTTGCCTTATGACAGAGCAACATTTACACCCCATTTCCATAGATTTTTAGATCGATCTATCCCTGTGGGGAGTCTCACTAGATTACTGTCAGCTTGGCTGGCTTAAGCGTCTCTCCCGCCTCCTAAAAGCTGTAAGGGGGTAATTAACTATGGTGCCCGCTCGGCTGATTGCAATTTAGCGTGAACCCCCAGGAAGTTAGGTCAATCTAAAACTTAATCTTTAGATCGATCTAAATCTCTGGGAAAGCACCCTTACACTCCAACACAGAACAAATGCATTTATTCTTACTTTTTCACATCATTCACTCAATGTCACTTTTACACTACCCACTCAAATGCTTCAAAATTGTTCCTACCCTCCTACCCCTGTATAACTATTCTTTTCACTCAGTACCTAACAGGCAAGACAAATTTTCAGATCTGCTAAATCTGAACAAAATCAAGATCATCTTTATAAATATTACTATACATATATGTGTGTATAAGTTATATTATCCTTTAAGCTTATATAATCTATTAGCATTTATTTAATTGCTTACATATGAAGTATAAATAACCTGATTGAAAGCATGCAGCAGTTTCATAGTGTTCGTTTCTTCACCTGAATCAACAACTCAAGTGTGGCAACCACTTCCCCCTTTTTCGTTTAATAAACCATTGTAATAGTTCGATGCCTGATAATTAGCCTGAACTGGAATATGCACTTGTAAAAAATCCCATTGCTTTAAAATGCACTGAACTCAAATCCCTTCTTTAACCAGTCCATTTTGTATCAAATCTTCAGAGTTTTGAATAAAATGTTACACCAAAAGGACAATGATGGGATAATTGTTGAAGAGATGATAAAAACTTTTTCTGAAACTTTGAGTTAATTTCACAAAGATTTCTGAATCAGCCACTGGCACCTTTTCTTGGTATCATACTACCTTGAAAATATTTCTTTGAAAATTTCTTGGTGACACCAATGTGGCTGGGTTTCTTCTAGCTACTACAGGACAAACTTGAGCCCCAGTCTGACCCCTTTAGATATTTTCCCATCATGCATCACCAAAGATGGTTGTCTTAATTAATTTTTCTTATAAATTCACATCAAGATCAGGCTGTGTCATGAATATTTGTGTTTCATTAGGAATTGATCAGTAGAAAAAATCCTTTTCTATGCAATGTAAGAGATCTGCATGCATGGAAAAGAAATGTTTACCACTTTTCAATACTCCAATTAAGGTCATATCATGTATAACTAGGCTGCATTTCCATCTTGCAACTTCAAGATGGGCGTTACATAAAGAACAGGGGATCTTACTCCAAGACCTATTTAGATGGACAAAGGTGAAATATGCTTTTTTTCAAAAAAAGTCTTTCACTGGTTACATCATTAAATTTGTATTATTTGACCTGGAAGAGGGGTTTACTTGCAGCATTGCTAACATGTAAATCATACTTTCACTAAATTCCTCTTGTTACATTTCTTTAGAAACTGTAAATCCACAATTTAGTCTACACATGAGCAATACTTCTCCCCATGTCCCTTTTCGACATTCACCATTTCCAAGTGAACTAACACTATCAATCTCCATGCTTCTCCCAAGAACTTTTGGAATTATCGTACTGGTTGACCTGGGAATATGGCGGTGGTGGGTAGTTTGGCATGTTGGCCGCAAATTGTCCTGCACTGTCACCAGGATAATCACGGTAGAAATTTTCATCCTGAAAATGTAAGAAAAATCTGCCATCAGTCCTGAAATGTTAGAGTCATCACTTAATTGCAGAGTCTGCGAAAACTATTACTTGATTTAAACATATTTTTTTTTAATATAACCCAAACAAAAATACTTCCTTGCAACAAGCTAGTCACAAGCTTGTGGCAAGCTAGTTGTACCCTTCGCAAGCTTGTTACAAGCAAGTTGGAAGCTTGCGCAAGCTTGCATGAGGCTAGAAAGGATTTCTGCAAGCTTGCAAGATACTTTTGCAAGTTTGCAGAATTGATCTGCAAGCTTGCGAAATACTCTGCAAGCTTGCAGCAGGCAATGAAGGCTTTCTGCAAGCTTGCATGATATTTTTGCAGGCTTGCAGAACACCCTGCAAGCTTGCAGTTGGTCAGGGAGGTTTTCTGCAAGCATGCAAGATATTTTTGCAAGCTTACAGAACACTATTCAAGCTTGTAATTAATAATTTAACTTGTGATGACACTTTCTGCAAGCTTGCATGAATTTTTGCAAGCTAGGAAATCTGAACAAGCATCTGGGAATTTTAATTTCTTGCAAACTTGCAAACTTGGAAGTAAAATGTTAATATGATGAGCCTCTAGAAAGAGGTGAAAGTACTAGAGGATCATATATTCTTTGATTTTCTTATATATATATATATATATATATATATATATATATATATATATATATATTTAATATTTTTAATAATTCAAGGACAAGGATATGATTCTACACACGTTTTCTACTAGCTGTTTACTAGTTACATACTTACACATAAAACACAAATAAATATAATCACAGTAAAAATCTCTGTAAATACTTTATTTGAATTACCATCAAAAATAGAAAAAAGCAGAAAATAACAATGCACAAAATAGGCTACTGTCAATTCTGATGCAAAAATACATTGTGCTTAACTGCAAATTCAACATCAAATTATAATTTAAGTAAATGTGTACCAAGCATAAGGCTTCAGGTCAATGAGAGTTTAAGTTCACACTTTGAAAATGCCAGAATGAGAAAAATGAACAAAAAGCTCGTTAAAACGAAATGTATAGTAAAATAATACCGTATTTTAAAACACAGTGTATAATTGTATATTATTGCAGTCATTTAGTTTGCAACGTAGGACAACGATATTGGCTCTACAGTTCACTGCCAAATTACAGAAGGGCCATTAATCTTGCTTTTAAAATCATTCCTTTGTCAGGACTAAATTAAAACACAGGAAAACTAAAGTTGTGAATTATTACGTTGTGTTATGATCGTTTGCGTGGTCGATCTCAGACTCGTCAGAGTCGCATTGGATGGAATCAGGGTCTGGATCAAGTAGCATTTTCTTTCTCAGGCGCCATATCGTGGATTTCGATGCGCCGGCTAACGGATCATCGTCTTTGAAACGACTGTTGTACATGATTTTTTATGGCTAAAACTCCCAGACTTGCGTCGATTTCAAGACCTCTTTATTACATTACATGTACAGTTCACGGAAGAAATGACCGCAGCGCCACCTATGGCGCGTAGACAAAGCGCTCGTACGCATGCGCGGAAATGTCGTCTGCTCTATCCGCTGCATCAAATTCAAACTGCGAGCTCGAGAATACGAAAAAATGGAAGAAAACACGGCGAATCTCTTTTGTTGGTTCGACTGGGATGACAATACAACTAGCGTCAACAGTATAAAAATTATCAAAGAACCGAGAAAAGGCTTTCTTGAATACAAAAAAGGTGACGTCACGNTTTAACTTTCAAGTACTTTCAATATATTCCTCATAAAGTATCCTCAAAGAAAAGATGTTGAAATTGTCATCAAATGTCAAGTAAATAGCTTTTTCATAGGGGAGTCCTTGGGTGGTAAAATACAAATCTTTAATTTTTCTTTATTTTTTCATGAAAATTTTCACCTGCAAACTAACAAAAAGTGCCAATGTGTCCTCCATTATGCATACTACAATATCATAGTCATTAACTCAAATTAAATTAGATTTTTGAATGTTTTTTGGGGGGAGTCAGATTTACATGGTACACCGGGCCTCTGAGGCCCGGTTTCAGGGTTTACATAGGGTTCCATTTCCTTGTGGATGAGGGTTAAACAGTGACTTCAGCTGTATTTTCATAATTGCCATACAATACGTTATAGCTATCTGTATACAATTTTACCACAAGTGATGGTGTCCAGCAAGTAGCAATGTTGTTCTTTATGACAAAAGTTTCAATGTTACAATGTTCAGTACGCAGGGGTTGGGACATTTTTTGTACATAGTAAAAATCTTGAAAAACAAAAAGTGCCATTTTTTTTGGAAAACCAACGACATTTTGTATAGCCTCATACTTGAGAAAGTTGTTGGGATTAATGTGAGGTTTATCCTCTCAAAGTATCAAAGTCATGGAGTCAAAGGTCGGCTGTACTTAATAGGAGGATTTTAAATGGTCAATTTTCTGCAAAACTGTCAATTTATGAGTATGCATTTTTATAGTTTAAGGGACTAATAAAAGGATTATTTCTGCAAACTTTAAAGGTTCAGGGGTTAAAGGAAAAGGTTATCGATTCAGTGCTTAAAATACTAAACCAATTGCTTTTGGGAGCTGTAGGGGCTTATGTGAAGATGAGATACTTTTGAGCATTAAGGCCCGTGGGCCTCTTGTTGCTCTCTTTACTGCTTGTGACATTCTCAGTTCCTTACAAGAGTCCAAGAATGATGTTATTTTTATCATTTGTACAGAAATTACAGTGAGCAGTCCCCTAAGAAAGAGAAAAAGGAGCAAGAGTACCAACCAAGTGAAAAAAGTTAGTTCAGAGGCAGATGAAGAAAAAGTTAAAGAAAAGAAAAGAAAAAAGGAAATCGATCTTAAGAAATTGGAGGTGGCTAATAAAAGTTTAGAGAACATTATTAGTCGAAGAAGGAATGATCTGAACGAAGTCCCAAATCAGACAGCTGCAGACAGCCAAGAATGTACTCCTGACCAGGTGACTTGCACTGACACTGATAATTATCAGGAGTTGCTTTCGGACAATGATAAACTCCACATGCCAGAACTGCCAACACAATCAGCTTTCATGGATTTCAATCAGCAGCCTAGGATGACATCTAGTGGCATTAACCAAGGATTGGACCATTTGTATGGTTACATGCATCCTGGGCAATCAGTACAATATGTAAATTATCCTGGATATGAGAGACCATACAATTACTCCATCTCTACAATGCAAACTCATGCAGAACAGATATCTTTACTGCAGCAAGAGAATGCAGCTCTGAGAGCAGAAAATCAGATGTTGATTCAAGAACTGCAACATAGCAATAGCTGCAGCAACATTGGTATGTGTCATGTTTGAAGTTCTTTATATATATAATTAATTTTTATGAATATAACTGTAGTAAATCTTCAGTGTTTTTTATGTACGTTAGTGAAATATGGATTTGATAATTATTACAAATTTCTATTTTCTGAACATCATATCTCATAGTCGTACTTAATTTGTTCATTTATCATGTTTATTATTCTGCAATCTGGGGAAGTAAAAGTTTGGTCCTTTCAAAGAGTCTCTATTAAATTAATTTTCTGGTGTTCATAACATATTAATCATACCATGCTCTCTGCCTTTCAGCTTCTACTTCGTCCTGCTTATCTTTGCTTTGTTATATGTACATGGTATAACTAGATGTTAAATGGAAGAAAATCTCAAATTACTGTACCATTTGCAACATAAGCACTTTATTGTTTGATTCAGGATTAGAGGCAACTCCAAGAAAAATACATTTCCTTCAGAATTTATGCACTGCACTGGAACAGAAAATGTAAGCATTAATAGAGAATTGCACTTGAACAGAAAAAGTAAGTACAGTATAACCTGTCTAAACCAGACCCTGTGTAATCTGGATCCCTGTCGATTCCGCCTTACAATTTGGTCTATGTTAACTAAATGTTGACTTTACCTGACCTCTACAAACCGAACACCTGTGTACACCGGCCAAATAGTTTGGTCCTGGCGACATCCGGTTTAGACAGGTTATACTGTATTAGTATCTATAGATAAAACTGTAAGTGCTTAATTAATTTGTGCTGAAAAAAAACTATTTGCTATTATAAACAATGTTTAGCGGAATTATATTTCCCCTCCTGCAAAGCACACTGTACATTTTCTTTCGATCATGTGTACGGGGCTTAATACATGATGAATCAAAAGACAACAGAACATGGTGTCAATGGTTGAGTTGTCTTGAAAAGTACAAAGGTTAAAATGGTATATTGCTTTTCTTTTTGTAGGCATTACCGTGGTTATAACAGCACTATCACTAGCAATAAAGAATCTGAAGTTCTACATGTAAGTTACTTAGTACTTCCAAAAGTGACGCATTAATGAGTTCATTTAATTTGCATTAAAAATTTTGAATACTATAGAGTTAATCCATCAGTTTATATTTAGACATATGTTACTAGAAAATAACCTTGAAAATTTTTAAAATTGCCATGGTAGAATGTTTATAATACTTGCAGTTTCAAGAGCTCTATATTTAAGGAATAACAAAAATAATTTTGTGAGGAGCAGAGAAGCCATTTATATAGGAGTTGAGGTACCAAAACAGTATTCGTGAGGATTTCAAATTTGTGAATAACTCCACTCACAAATAAATGCTTGATATAATCCACCTCAAATAATAGTGATCGACAGTGACATCAGGCATTACTGTGTGTTGTTATTGGTGTAACTGTTCTATCAAATATTAAGTCCCACAGAGATAATAATTCTCAAATTTTAACTTACTTTAACATGTGAAATTCTTGGTAGTAATTTTTTGTTGACATAATCTATTGACACATAATGTACTGATTATGTAAAAGTATAGTAATATACATATAACAGAATATTTTGCAATAACATTAGGAATCTACAGTCAACATGCCAACATTGGTGAGACCAAAGTCAAGGAGATTAGCATTCACTGAAAGTTCAGCTAGACATGATCATGAAGAGAGTCCATTTACGGAGAATGCAGCAAGACACGAACATGGGGAGAGGCAACCATCAACACACAGAGAGGAAGATTTTGAGCCAGAGAGAGGGTCCACAGAGGGTGACACCAAGAGAAATGGCTGCAGTCAAGCTTACTGGGAGCAAAGAGTGACTGTAAGAATGAATTCTTATATACAAATGTACTGTTCATTGGTAATTGATAAATATCAGTGTGTTTTATTTTACCAGATGCACATTTTCCCGAAATGTACATCTGAATATTTCCCAATGTACTTTGGTCGTGGCTTTATCTCTAGTTTTTACTGGTCTGTTATTATTTTTTGTGTACTTCCACTAGTAAAATGACCATGTAGCCCTTGAGACTATGACTTTAACAAATGTATACTTTTCTAATATCTGGGGGAAAATGTTATGCATTTCTCTTACCTGACATTATTCAAGAGTATTAAATTTCAATCTTGATGGCTTTGACGATATTTTTGTTAAACATTTAGACAATCAATGCTCTTATATTTAACAGATGAATGGAGCCCTGAAAGTGAGACTGATACCAGAATCAGAGGTGTACCTGACGGCTCAGCAACTGTCTCAGCGTATACAAAAAGCAGGGACAAATGCAAGGAAGCTTATTATTAATTTTCTGGACGTGTTCTTCAAACGAGAGGTATTGGCCATTTCCAGCGCCAAAGGTAAACGAGTGGCTCATAACAGCAAGTTAGCTGATTCTGGAGAAAAAACTGAAGCTCTGCCAGAAGAAGTGCTTAATGCAATTAAAAGGTTCACAGAGAAACACATAAGAAAAATTACTGGGCAATTTAGTTTAACAGATGCTGTTATGAACAATGTCATCAACTCCAAGTGTGCAACTGCACGCAGAGCTTTACACAATAGCAACGTTTAATAGCCCTTGAACATTTTGTTTTTATGTACAGTCACAGATGTGTCTGTACATATAGCCGTCACCTGCGTCTGTTGTCGTCGTCTTTGCCGTGCACTTTCATCGTAAACACGATAAGTGGAAAAAAAATTTACTTTTTGGCTTTATACTTACAGAACTGATGAATATTCATAAAATGTATTAGACCACCATATTTTATCAAGCGCCATCCACGAAGTATCAAAGACCATTCTCAATATTGTGTGAAATTTTCATTTTCCTCATTCTGGCATTTTCAAANCCCTGAACATCTTCTGGTAAACTATTCCATAAATATGTAGATCTCACACTGAAACTATATTTTCTTATGTCTAACTTTGGTCTTTGTACAAGAATTGTCTGTGAATTCCCCCTCCCACGGTTCCTAGATACAATGTTATTCCCATTTATTTAAAGTTTTTTCCCCTCATTTTCTTTTGAAATTGAAATGATTAGGTAAAAAGTAATTTTTTGTTGACATAATCTATTGACACATAATGTACTGATTATGTAAAAGTATAGTAATATACATATAACAGAATATTTTGCAATAACATTAGGAATCTACAGTCAACATGCCAACATTGGTGAGACCAAAGTCAAGGAGATTAGCATTCACTGAAAGTTCAGCTAGACATGATCATGAAGAGAGTCCATTTACGGAGAATGCAGCAAGACACGAACATGGGGAGAGGCAACCATCAACACACAGAGAGGAAGATTTTGAGCCAGAGAGAGGGTCCACAGAGGGTGACACCAAGAGAAATGGCTGCAGTCAAGCTTACTGGGAGCAAAGAGTGACTGTAAGAATGAATTCTTATATACAAATGAACTGTTCATTGGTAATTGATAAATATCAGTGTGTTTTATTTTACCAGATGCACATTTTCCCGAAATGTACATCTATTATGAAGAGAAAACTGTGTTACTTATTATTATTTTTAACTTACAAGAATGATTTTTAGGATTAGCATGCAGCTCAAATTAGAAAGCCAACTCAATTGGGTAATATCATTTATTATTGAATATATGCAATTTTGTGTGAAATTTTCATTTTCCTCATTCTGGCATTTTCAAAGTGTGAACGAGAACTCTCGTTGGCCCTGAAGCCTTCTGCTTGTTACATATTTTACTTACATCACTATTACCTGCAGAGCATAATTAGAATTTGATGTTGAATTTGCAGTGAAGCATATGTACTTTTGCATCAGAATTTACAGTTACTGAAGCCTATTTTGTGCATTGTTATTTTTTGCTTTTCTGTACATTACACTACTTAATAGATTTACATGCTTGTATATATATTACATTTTTTAAAAATTTTCCTCATTGTTGGTAGATAAAGGGACACTTGCTTGTAATGTTATCCAGAAATTAATCATTACACTACTTAATAGATTTATATGCTTGTATATATATTACATTTTTTTTTTAAATTTTCCTCATTGTTGGTAGATAAAGGGACACTTGCTTGTTATGTTATCCAGAAATTAATTATTACACTACTTAATAGATGCTTGTATATATATTACATTTTTTTTCAATTTTCTTCATTGATGGTAAATAAAAGGAACACTTGCTTGTGATATTTTCCAGAAATTAATCATTACACTACTTAATAGATTTGTATGCTTGTATATATCAACTTTTTTTTTTCAAGTTTCCTTGTTGTTAGTAATTCAAATTACTATTCATTTTCTGTACAATAATCTAGATAATAGATGAGTGAAACCTCCTACTCAGTAGTTATTTGTGTCAATTTTGTATGCAGTTAACCTTAAGAAAATAGTTTCAGTGTGCTTGCAGTTAAGCTTTGTGCAAGCTTGCAGTTTTGCTTTCTGCAAGCTTGCAGTTTAGTTTGCCACAAGCTTGCAGTTTGGCTTGCTGCAAGCTTGCGGTTTGACCTGTCGCAAGCTTGCAGTTTGGTCTGCTGCAAGCTTGTGGTTTTAGCTTGCCGCGAGGTTTCAATTACTAGCTCGTCGCGAGGTTCCAATTCCGAGCTTGCAAATTAAGCTTGCCGCAAGCTTGCAGTTTGGCTTGCTGCAAGCTTGCGGTTTGGCCTGTCGCAAGCTTGCAGTTTGGCCTGCTGCAAGCTTGCGGTTTTAGCTTGCCGCGAGGTTTCAATTACTAGCTCGTCGCGAGGTTCCAATTCCGAGCTTGCGAATCAAGCTTGCCGCAAGCTTGCAATAGCAATGAATTGCAAGCTTGCCATTTTTGTTTGGGAATGGACAATTCTATGTATTGCTGGCCATGGCACGCATGATGTTAATTATGCCATTTTATAAATCTTTTCCAGTCAATGGATTATCCTCAAATGCTCTGTTGATGCAGCATGAACCGTACCGTACCTTACCAACGCACAAACCAAACAATCTTAATTGAACTGATGCTGAAATATTCCTATAAAACAACTCCATGATTGAACTGCTATAAGTAAATGTTTGGCAACCACTCTACAAACCTTGCCATTGATTATCATGGGCAGCTGGTATAATCACAATCCAATCTTGTCCCATTAACCATGCAATGTAGACTAATCTTGATTTTCAAATTCAGCATTATTTTAACGAAAACCAACTTTGGACCAACAGGAGGACGGTTAATTGCAATCTACTTGTACAATCAAGTAGCTGCCCAAGAAAGGGAGAGGGGTGTGATGGGGGGAATTTGGAAGCCACATTGCACTAAATTCTAGCCTTATGCTACATATTTTTTAATTTGATCACAAAAAAAAATTAATTTGGTTGAACATTTTGACACTGGTAAAATGGCACTATTATTTTGTTAAATGGAATTTTTATTTTTAAATGAGACACAAAAATAGTTTCTCAATGTGACCCAGACACCGAACTTAAACAGTCAAGAGGCCCTCTTCTTAGAGTGAGAAGAAACACCGTTAATTATGACAGTTCAATGTGTTCTCTACGTGCCACAAGAACATTGTACTTGAACCAGTCTTAGGCTTCGTTCACATGCAATATCTATTTTCTAAATTCTATTTTCTATTCGCGCTATCTTATGATCACGGTCTGTGCCCTGAATATCCCGCCGCGTAATTCTGGCAGCACGAGCCAGTTACTTATAGTAACTTATAGTAACTGGCTCGCGCTGCCAGTAATTACGCCGCGGGATATTCAGGGCACAGACCTGATCATAAGACATACCGCGAATAGAAATAGAATTTAGAAAATAGACATTGCATGTGAATGAAGCCTTAATGTAGGACACCCCAGGAGCTGACTTAATATACCTTGCATTGCTGTAAGAGTCTTATGGAAGAGTGGGGCATCTTTCTGTGCATGGGATCAGTTTAATTGTCTGACACGCCTCCTCCAGCAGCTAGGGGTAATTAAGCAGAGTGCACACATTGTTAATTACCTCCTAGCTATTTCAGGAAGCGTGTCAGTCAATTAAGTTAATTGATACCACTGACTGATCCCCCACAAAGTTGGACCAACCCAGCTGGTATGATGTCTGAATCTGAATGCGACTTAGACCCCATTCCCAGAGATTAGATCGATCCAACTAGATCGACCTAACTCCCTGGGGGTTCACACTAAATAGCTGTCAGCCGAGCTGGCACAAAAGTAAATTACCCCCTTACAGCTTATAGTAGGCGGGATGGACATTTAAGCCGGATTATCTGACAGTAATCTAGTGAGACTCCCCACAGGGATAGATCGATCTAAAATCTATGGGAATACGCCCTAGGTCTAAGATAAAAGTCCTTTTTTGTTCCAGGTTCCCCTAAGATATTCTTCTCTGGGGTTTCTTCAATCGGTGAAATAATTCTAGAAAGCATGCAGATGTAACACTTTTGAATTCGAAAGTTTGTACTTGAGCTAAACTTCCTGGTATTTGACAAAAATAGTCTTAATGCCTGCCAGAACCCGTGCTCTAGTTGACACCCTAGCCCACGCCAACATGTGCAAACACCAGTTGAGAAGTTTTGTGCTAACATTTTATACTATCGCATGTACAACAAACATTTGGCAATCAATTAGGAGCAAAATCAATATCCCCTGCCTTCTAGGGTTGTAAATTACCAGTGATGCCACAATATAGAGATTATTAGAACAATTTGTTTTAACATTGCTCTTGCCTTACCATATTTTCTGTAGAAAAAAAATGGTGAAAAAAATTGGTGTGTTGACTTTGAATGGCTGAAGTTTAAACTGTGCCAAACGAAGCTATTTATTTTCCACTTAAATATTGCCGAAGAGAGCTCCATAAAGAAATGCATGGGTAGTTCCACTTTGCTATAGGAACTAACAGTAAAATGCTAAACAGAGTCTAACATGTCCCTAAAGACACCACAAAACTTTTTGGAACACACTTACTCTTTATTGGCTGCAATATTCTGATTTAGTTAAAAAAAATTATAGTTCTTTGGCTCAAGGTAATCTTATCCAAAAGCACAGTGTGTCCTAGTACAGTATTTAGTTAAGTCACCAAGAGGGATTTCAATTTATCATTTCAAATAAAGGAAGTCGTAAATCAAGTTTTTTTAGATGTCACTGATAAAACCATACAAACACTTAATTTATGTATGTCTGTTTCTCTCTCTCTCTCTCACACTCACCTACCACTAAACTTGTAACAGACACCTACTCTTAGCCTGTCATTAACAAAATTTCTAAAGACACATTTCCTCTTTTTCATTTTCTTTTGCATGCATCATTATTTCACATTTTGTTGTAAATGTGATCAACAATTTCCATAATCATTTCTCAATACTCCAGGAAGCTTTCAATCCAGGAGGAAGTCCAAATAAAATATTGTCTGGACTTATCACAATCCAACTGACATTTTGAGGGTAATTATACTTCCTGTTCATGCCCTCCATCTGAACTTTTCCATTATGTTGCACACTCAATATTATAGCTTTAATAGGATGGGCAAACAGGGACATGGTATTCTCAGCTCACTACATTTCAGACAATGGTTAAACAGATGAAAATGTGGCCAAGGAAACTGTAAAATCTTTCCCCTTTTTTGCAAAGGCAAATGTTTTGCACAACTAATCATAAAAATACCTTAAAAGTTCATTTTTTTTAAATTTTA